TTGTTGCTTTGCTCAAGGCTAGCGTTTTCTACCACCTGAGCCATAGCTTCACTTCCAGATTTTTTCTGGGGGGGGTAGGGGGTGATTAGTTGGAGATAAGAGTCTCAAGGACTTTCCTGTGTTGGCTTTGAACTACAGTCCTCAGGATCTCAGCCTTCTGAGTTGCTAGGATTACTAGGACAAGCTACCTGTACCTGGCTATTGCTAAATAATAATAATGATTATTATTGCTATACTGAGGTTTGAACTTAGGGCTAAGAAGGTGCTCCACTGCTTGAGACATGCTTCCTGCCCTCTTTGCTGTAGTTTTTTTTTTTTTTTTTTGGTCAGTCATGAGGCCTGGGCACTGTCCCTCAGTTCTTCAGTTCAAGGCAAGCGCTCTACCACTTGAGACACAGTGCCACTTGTGGTTTTCTGGTTGTTTTTAAGATAGGATCACTGTTTGCCCAAGCAGGCTTGGACTTCTATACTCTTGCTTTGCTCTCCTGCTTGGGATGGCAAATGCTTCCCCTGAGCCTAGCTATTGTTTGAGATGGGGTCTTTTAACTTTTGGCTTTAAATCTCCAATCTCCTGATCTGTGCCTCCCAAGTAGCTAGGACTCCAGGTATGAGCCACCAGCAACCAGCTCCAAATAGTTCTTGAATCACATCCTGGTGTCCTACTTAGGAGGTAATTCTTGGTGCAGGAGAAAACATAGTCACAGTGTGCAAGAGACTGTAAACTGGCTCTTTGGAGATGACTTCCTGTGTATGCGTGGGGGGGGGGGAGGTTGAGGATGGAGGGAAGCTGGCCACAGCAAGGAAATAAATCAGAAAGATGAGAGCACTGAGGCCACGCTTTGGACCTATACCTCTTGCAGGTTGGGCCAAGTTTTCACAAGGAAACTGGACTTTGGGACAGAGGGTTAGGACAGTCTGGGTGGTGTGACTCTTCCTTTGCTGGAATAGTCACACCTAAGCTGGAGAACAGCTTCAGCTTCTTGAGCTGACATTCTTTTCTGTTGCAGCAAGGATTATGTCAGTCATCAGTGTATGTTGGGAACAATAGTTCCTGCTTTCTGTGCCCCAGGGTGGGGCTAATTAGCATCAAGAGCCAAAGGGCCTGGCTTTACCTTTTAAGGCACTCTAGTGCCAGGTTGTCTACTGTTTTCCTCTTCCCCTGCCTGGAGCACAGGTATCCCACAGGCCCCCTTCCTGAACAAACACAATAGTCTCATGCAAAAGGAATGGGACTGAAACCTGGCTGGCTGGGAGCCACCTGCCTGAAGAAGGGGTCTAACACAAGTCCCACGGGGCTCCTTTCAGCCCTATGGGGACAGCACGGACCTAACCCAGTAGTACAGATGGGTTTTGTTTTTTTTTTTTTTTTTTTTTTGCCAACATTCCCAGTATCTAATAGCTGCCCTAAAGCAGAGCTTCCCCTTCTACCAGGTTCTGGAATCCAGCTCTGTGTTCCTTGCCAGATGATGAAATTCTAGGGTTTTCAAGCCCAGCATTTCCAGCTCCTTATCTGTCATCCAGGGACCTTTGTTGAGAAGCGCAGGCAGGATTTATGGTGGGATTTCTGCTGTTGAATCAACTGCATCATGGATTTCTGCCGTTGAATCAACTGCATCATGGAGGTCTGACTGCCCATGGGTTCTCTTTCCCAACCCCAAGCCAAGACTTGCCTGGTGCCATTCCAGGTTATCTCAAGGGTTTCAGGGCTCAGTTGGAGTCTCTTTCTGGGTAAGGGAGGTATGGGTCACTGTCAATTTTTGTGGTTTGGAACCCATTCTCTTGAGAGGCTCCTCAGAGCCACAAGCCACATTCCAGCCTGGGGTGGGATGGAGGAGGCATCTGGTGCTTTGTAGATCACTCACAAGCCCATTTATAGGGTGCCAGCAGAAGCGACTTCAGCTCAGTTCAGTCATAAAGGACCATCCACAGGGGCTCAGCCTTCTGCCGGCTCCGGGTGCCTGTCATACCACATCACTCCTTAGCACTCACACATGCCAGATGCCAACTCAGCTGGACTGGCTTCTTTAAAATGATTCTATTGTTACTATTGTACAGACAGGCTACCATTTCATAAGTTATGTCATGAATACATTTTCTTTTTGACCATGTCACATCTTCTTTTACTTCCTCCCCACAGTGGACTCACTTCTTGAGCTGAGCCTCACAAGAAGAGTGACCATCTCAGTTTTCTTCACATAGGGGTGCAAATGAGTTAAGGATTTCTGGTTGATGTGTCTGCCTTTCCCCCCACCATTAGAAGGTCTCACTCTACAAAATGCCTCAGAAGTCTCTATCTATGTATCTATGTATCTATCTATCTATCTGTAGTGGCACTGGGAAGTCAAATCCATGCATGAAAACCATATAGTCACTGAGCTACATCCCAGGCCTTTGAGGCATTTTAAACACTTTTAAAGAAAACCACACAAAGCCTGAGGTCAATTGAACTTCTCCAGTCCCAGTTAGAGCTAGAGTGACAGCAAGCAGGATAAATAGGGAGGGAAGCCCAAGGGTTAGAGCTACAAGGACTCTGTAACCATGACTCCCCAGAATGACACTCAGCAGCATTGGTCCATGACCCCTTCTGCTTAATTGAGTCTCTGCCTGTGACCTTCCTGTAACCAGCACATATGGGCACACGCAGGTTTCCACAAATCCTCCCTCTTCAGCAAACCTGCACATGAGCACACCCATCCCATGTATAGACACACTTATGGTCACCCATGTCTAATCCCCTGTGTAGCTGGGAGGTGTATGTGTATTCAAATGCAGTGTGACAACTGTGGTTATAGACAGCTACTGCAACAGAGAGCCATGAAGATTGCAGAAGCATACATACAGCATGGGACCTGCTCTCTTCCTCTTCTAAAGAATGGTACAGCTTTCAGATCCAAGCCACAGTGGCTCCTGTCTGTTATTCTAGGTACTCAGAAGGCTGAGATCTGAGGGTCATAGTTCAAAGCCAGCTCAGGCAGGAAAGTCTATGAGACTCATATCCCCAATTAGCTAGCAAAAAGCTGGAAGTAGAGGTGTGGTTCACATGGTAGAATGCCAACTGAGAGTGCAAGGACCTGAGTTCAAGCCCCAGGAGGACAAAAAAAATAACATGATATGGCTTTCAGATGCTAAGAGACTTTAGGATTTTATTAGTGAATATACTGAAGCCCAGAGAGAGGAGGTGACTTGTAAAATCTTCCACAGGGTTTCCATTTTCAGCCTCCTCCTTCTGACTGAATCTTGTTCAGAGAGAGAAGCTTAAGGGAAATAAAGTTGTGGAGCTAAGGTAGAGAGGAGGAGGAAAACAGTCAAAGTTCAGAGAAGCCAGGTAGGCACCAGTGGCTCATGCTTGTAATCCAAGCTACCTAGAAGGCTAAGATCTGAAGATTGCAATTCGAAGCCAGCCCTGGCAGTAAAGTACTTGAGACTCTCCAATAAAGTACTCAGAAAAAGCCGGAAGTGGCACTGTGGTTCAAGTGGTGGAGCACTAGCCTTGAGCACAGAGAGGCTCAGGAACAGAGCCCAGGCCCTGACCTCAAGCTCCAGGACTGGCTGAACACAAACAAAAAGCTTCAGAGAAGATGAGAGTGTGATCCAGTAGGTCACAGAGGCCTAGCTAGGCTGATGACATAGAGAGCAATGAGACACACAGGGAGGGGCTAGCTGGTAGAGATGGGAGTCCCTGGGTTCTGGATCTGTAGCTGGCTTCTGAACCAAGGCAGAATGGAGAGATGCAGCCTTAGGACTAGACTCCTGACACAGGCCCTGCTTCTTTCTGAGCTGGGTAGTGTCACAGCACACAGAACACCCACACGTTCTGTGGCTTTCTAGGGCTCTGTCCTGAACAGAATCCCATCACAGACAGCCAGGGACCTTGGTTTGAGTTCACCTCTAAGAAGGAAGAGGCTGTGGCTTCAGACCATTCTCTTCTGGGCTTTTGGGGTCCCTGAATCACACTATGGTTTCTGTTGCCCTGAGACCTGAGACTGGAAGTTTAGAAATTCACCTGCAGTAGCAATCTCTATTTAGGAACTCAACTTGATCCTCACTGCCGGTGGGCTATCCCCACCCCACTTGTCAGATTATCATCTGGGTCCTGTGTATACTTCCCCGTATGGGGGCAAGTGGGGGCTCTATCTCCTTGCAATCTCTGATCAGGACTGTGAGTATAGCTAGAGGCTGGCCATGGTCCTCAGCCCTGGAGATGTACATCCCACTTTACATTCTGCAAAAGTGGAATGAATGCAAATGATAAATGCACTGCGTAGGGATTACACAGAGGTGAAATTGTTTAGTCCTCCCTCTGAACCTGAGGTAGGGGCTCTTTTTCCAGCATTTTTTGGTCTCATCATTTTCACCTAGGAATAGGCAAAGCAGTTTGGATCTGGAGTCTGTGCTTACCTCGGTTACATCAACACCTTGCTGTGTGCTATTTCTGTCCTTGATGTAATGTTTCAGCTCTGGCAAGTCTCCAAACCTCAAAGGGACTCCATTAAAAAAAACACCCTGTCAAAAGCTTTTGGAAACTTTACATCATGTTTCTGCATTCACCTCCTGAAGAATTCTAGTAAATTACTCAGGCTGAGTCTTCTGCACCACAGCCATGAGTGATGTTTCCTTAAGCTTTCAGTAATTAGGAAATCTCATACTCATCATCCATCAGTTTACAGATGTGCAAGGACTATTTCCTGGGAGGCAGTGATAACAGCAAAACAAACACAAGAGATGCTCAAACAGCAGCTGAATCCCTGAACCGAGTGAGAGGTTGGGCCTTACTTCCTGGGTTGTTTTAGGAATGGTTTCTTCATCTTGATGATGTTGAAGTTTCATGCCTAAAATTGCATCATGTAGGAGTAACATGATGTGGAGCCTCCTGTTCCTGTTTCATGGGACTTTGGGGAACCCCATGAATCCTGACGACACCCCATCCCACCCTCCAAGGAAGTTCACAAACATGCAGACAAGGCCCAGGTCTAGCTACATTGATTTATTGGAAACACAAAGCAAGACAGAGATTAGATTGTAGAGGGTACAGGTGAGGGGGGAGGGGGAGGCTGAGGCTCTAGATCTATGGAAGCCTAGGGTTCAATCCTATTCTGGTCCCTCCTAGCCCTGGGTCCCCTTCTTGTGGCTCCAAGGAGACCTCTGGAGAAGCCCATTTCCATGCTGGTAGGCAGCAAAGCCGGAGAGCAGGGACCATGGAGAGATCCAAGCTGGGGTAGATAGTGGGAGGGACCACTGAAAAGTGCAGAAGTGGCTGAGCTCATGCTCCAAGCCCCAGGACTGAGTGGTCAGAGCTAGTTCCACAGGAGAGAGGCTCAGCAGGGGGACCTAGGCTTGATCTGCCAACTCTAACATTTCCTGCAGCTGCTTCTGCAGGAGCCCACGCCGAAGGAGCTGACACCGCATGAAGGTCCGGACCCACAAGGCGCGCACATGCCAGTGCTCACTGCCAGATTCCCGCTGCATGGGGCGCTGCACACGCTGCCTGTCACCGGCCGGGAGCCTGACACACACAGGTCACCGCACACAACCCCGCCCCGGGAGCTGCTGACACCTGTGGACCCCGAAGACTGAATCAGCATTGGAGGTTTAGAGCAAGCAGTCCCAATATCCTAAAGCCTGTGCACTCAGGGGATTAAAAACCAGCCCATCAGATGGATGCCAGAGGTTCATTCCTTGCCCAGGAAGCTGAGATCCAAGGATTGTGGTTCAAAGCCAGCCTGGCCAGGAAATTGAGACTCTTATCTCCATTTAACCACCAAAAAGAACCAGAAGTGGTGCTGCATCTTAAGTGGTAGAGTGCTAGCTTTGAGCAAAACAGTACAAAGACAGAGTCTAGGCCCTGAGTTCAAACCCTTGGACCTGCAGGTATGTGCACACACATAGCACAAATGCACAGACACAGAGCCCATATTTTTAGTGTTCATCTACCACCAAAGCAGTGGCCTTTCTTGATGATGTTTGATCCCAAATCTATCCTGCTATGCCACACTTCTCTGCCTCCCGCCCAAGCAGGAACTGAATCCTTCACATTGGTCCAATAGTCAAATACTTACAGACATTCACAGCACCAACACCTTCACACAGCCTGAGGATGGACAAAGAAGAGAGAGAGGGAGAGACACAAACAGAGAGAGACCGAGAGACAGAGAGAGAAAAAACATTAATGACACAATGGCAAAGGAGTATAACAAAAGTCTTCAGTAGGATTCATAATTGTCAAGGAATTGGGGAGTCAATTCTCTAGAGAACCTGTTGACATCTATAAATGGCAGTTTTCCAAAGTGACAAATAACAGAGTTTATCTGCAGCCCCAGGCAAAGAGAATGGTGGAGTTCTTGCAATAAGGGGATGGGTGATTCTGAACCAATCTAGGCTTGGACCCACCTGTGCTCCTCGCCCTCCAGCAGGCGCCGGTAGGTGGCGATCTCGATGTCCAGGCCCAGCTTGGAGTTCATCACCTCCTGGTACTCCTTCAGCAGGCAGGCCATGTCCTGCTTGGCCTTCTGCAGGGCTCCCTCCAGCTCGGCCAGCTTGGAGCGGGCATCAGTGAGGGCTGCCTCACCCTGCTGTTCAGACTGGGACACTGCGGCCTGCAGCTTGGTGTTCTGGAGGCACAGGAGGGAATAAGGTGAACCCACAAGTACTGGGTCTCTTTACTAAGATGTGCATAGTTTATCTGCCCAACTGGGAACCACCATCTCTGCACAAAAAGACAACATCTCTAGCCTCTACAGTTGTGTCTCACTGAATGACAAAAACCAGACACTTGGCTTATGCATACAGCTAGGGGACTAAATAGAAACGTGAAAATGAAGAAAACAAAGCACACTAGCCAGGCTCCCACCTCCTCTGCTCCTGGGCACAGCTGCCCCATACCTGGCACTTGGCATTCTCAATCTCAGCCGTCAGCCTCTGGATCATGCGGTTCAGCTCATTCATCTCCTCCCTGGTGCGGCGCAGGGTCTCCCCATGTCGGATCACTGTGGCCTTGATTTCCTCACACTGGAGAGAAACAGGGGTGCCCATGGGCTCACGCTGGACAGTACTCAACCTGCGCAACCAGCCACACATGGCAGCCCAGACCTGAACCCACCCTGAGAGCTGTTGGCCCCTCCTTCCCATCCCACCTTTCCTTCCCATCCCTTCTTTTCTAGGAAGAACTGTTCCTTCTCACTGTCTAGAAGGCAGCTTCCTGGAACAGTTACCTTGCTGCGGTACCAGGACTCAGCCTCAGCCCTGCTGCGGGTGGCGATGTCATCATACTGAGCCTTGATCTCAGCCACAATGCAGTCCATGTTGAGGTCCCTGCTGTTGTCCATCTTGACAATGACTGAGGTGTCTGAGATGTGGGCATGGAGGACACGGATCTCCTGCAGGAGGATGGAGGTAAAGGACAGCAGAGCTTTTGGAAAATGCATCCCTACCGAACAGACTTCAGTGCAACTGGCCAGTCACCCTGGCCCTGTTTCTTGCCACTTCATGCAACCCCATGATCAGAATCCACTTTCTAATCCCTTTCCCACACTCCACTTCCATCCAAACCATTGTCTTCTGTGCTGGCGGCCCTAGGCCTCAATCCAGCCCCCACCCCTCACCTCTTCATAGAGTCTCCTCAGGAAGTCAATCTCCTGGGTCAGTGCCTCTGAGTTGGCCTCCAGATCAGACTTGCGCAGGTAGGCACAGTCCACGTCCTGGGAAGGGAGGGCAAAGTGTGAGTCTCAAGGGGCCTTGCTGATGCCCCCTCAAAATTGTCTCTCTTCTCACCCTTCCATTGCAGCCCAGGGCAGAAGGAACCCCAAGCTCCTGAGGCTCCATCACAGGCAAAGGACTTCCATAGATC